TTCTCTCCTCTCCTCTCCTCTCCTCCTCTATTCTATTCTATTCTATTCTATTCTATTCTATTCTATTCTATTCCTTATTCTATTCTATTCTATTCCATTCCATACTCCATTCCATTCTATTTTACTCTACTTTACTCCTTCTCTTTTCTCTTCTCTTCTCTCTTCTCTTCCCCTCTCCTCCCCTCCCCTCCCCTATTCTATTGTACTCTATTCTTATTCCATTCCATTCCATTCCATTCCATTCTATTCTATTCTATTCTATTCTATTCTCATCCTTGGTCCCACTCTATTATTACTATTACTATTATATATTATATTACTCTATAATTCTATTCTATTCTATTCTATTCTATTATTATATTCTATTCTATTCTATTCTATTCTATTCTATTCTATTCTATCCCTGTTCTATTCTATTCTAGTCTCATCCTTTGGTCCCACTCTATTATTACTATTACTATTATATATTATTATTATTATTACTCTATAATTCCATTCTATTCTATTCTATTCTATTCTATTCTATTCTGTTCTGTTCTGTTCTGTTCTGTTCTGTTCTGTTCTGTTCTGTTCTGTTCTGGTCTAGTCTAGTCTAGTCTAGTCTAGTCTAGTCTAGTCTAGTCTAGTCTAGTCTAGTCTAGTCTAGTCTAGTCCAGTCCAGTCCAGTCCAGTCCAGTCCAGTCGTCCAGTCCAGTCCTTATTCTATTCTATTCTATTCTATTCCTTATTCCATTCCATATTCCATTCCATTCTACTTTACTCTACTTTACTCCTTCTCTCTCTCTTCTCTTCTCTTCTCTTCTCCTCCCCCCCTCCCCTCCCCTCCCCTATTCTATTCTATTCCTTATTCCATTCCATATTCCATTCCATTCTATTCTACTTTACTCTACTCCTTCTCTCTTCTCTTCTCTTCTCTCTCTTCTCCTCTCCTCTCTCCTCCCCCCTCCCCTCCCCTCCCCTATTCTATTCTATTCTACTCTACTCTATTCTGTTCTATTCTATTCTATTGACTGGTTGGACAGCCATTTTTCTGGAATGGTATCAGGTCTCCTGTTTGAGCAGAGGGTTGGACTAGAAGACCTCCAAGGTCTGTTACTCTTGGGAAAGGCTGACTTCACAGTGGGAGGGACGGCAGCTAGCCAACGGGCCTGGTTGAACCTCAAAAGTCTAAGCCAGGAAAACGGCCGGCACCCAACATTTACCATCTGGTGACACCCTTACATTGGCTTCCTAAAATAGCAGCCACCAATATACCGACGTTCATCAAAAAAAAATGAACGGCTCATCAGAATTCTGACGGTCGACCAGATCCCTCAGAGAAGAAACTTTTCAGCAACATCCCTAATGAAGATCGATTGGCAGGAAGGGAGTACTTGGTTGTCCACCCTCTGCCTTGCCCTGTCCAGGAGATGGAGATGCTCTATGAAGAACATCTTACCAAAGCCAAAACCGTGGACTTCACGGTTCAGGTCTGACCAGGGATGGGCTTCAAAAATTTCAGCAAGGGGTTCTCTGCCCGGCTGCTGGTGGGCGTGGCCACGGTGGGCGTGGCCTAGTCAGCCTCCTGCTCCACGGTGGAGGTGGGGATTTTGCCCTCCCCAGGCTCCAGAGGCTTTCCTCGAGCATCCAGGAGGGCGAAAACGGCCTCCCCAGGCTTCGGAGGCCCTTTAAGGGCCGGAAATTTTCTGAACTTCCGGTAGGCCCGTTTTTCGCCCTCCCTGAGCCGCCATGCACGCCCTGCATCCAAAATGGGCCAAGTGGGGACTCCTGGGAGGGGAGGGGAGGGGAGTGGAGTGGAGTGGTGGGCAGGGTCAGCCAGGACTGGTATTTGGGGTTATTTATTTATTTATTAGTTCAATTTACATGCCGCCTTTCTCCGGAGACTCAGGGCGGCTATGCAGGTTCTCTGACCTGCACAGAATCTTAGCTAGAGGTTCTCCCGAACCCCTATGAACCTCCAGCAGCCCACCCCCAAGTCTGACCTAGAGAGGCACACACCGCCTTGGAGAAGACCGGCTCCTACTCTTCACCCCCCACCTTCCACAACTCAACAACAGGGACACTCTCGCCTTACAGCAAGAAAGCCAAGCACAGGAAAGAAGAAAAATCCTTTAAAAAGCCAAAAATCTATTTCTCCAAAGTAATGAAGAGTTAGCAGACTCTGCAGGGAAGAGACACTAGAAAATGGAATGAAATTAACAGGAGGAAAAACCCACCTCCCGTTTCTCAAAGAACCAGAATGTGGCTTTTAAGGAGACCGGCTCCTTCATTAGCTTGAGGAAAAACCCTCCCTTGGGGGAAAAAAAAAAAGACGAGAAAATGTATCGGGAAGCATCTTCTAAATCCTCTCCAGCTGAAGAGAGGCAGGAGATAACTCAAAGCTTGCCCTCACGTTCTTCGCTCACGTTCCTAGAGGGGACTGGAAAGGAACTCCACTGTGTCTAGAATAGAATAACAGAGTTGGAAGGGACCCTGGAGGTCTTCTAGTCCAACCCCGTTTAGGCAGGAAACCCTACACCACTTCAGACAAAGGGTTATCCAACATCTTCTTAACAACTTCCAGTGTTGGAGCATTCACAACTTCTGGAGGTAAGTTGTTCCACTGATTAATTGTTCTAAAGGTCAGGAAGTTTCTCCTTAGTTCTAGGTTGCTTCTCTCCTTGATTAGTTTCCACCCGTTGCTTCTTGTCCTGCCCTCAGGAGCTTTGGAGAATAGCTTGACTCCCTCTTCTTTGGGGCAGCCCCTGAGATACTGGAACACTGCTATCATGTCTCCCCTGATGCTTATTTTCATTAAACAAGACATACCCAGTTCCTGCAACCGTTCTTCGTATGTTTTAGCCTCCAGTCCCTTAATCCTCTTTGTGGCTCTTCTCTGCACTCTAGAAAGAGTCTCCACATCTTTTTTTACATCGTGGCGGCCAAAACTGGAGCCAGTATTCCAAGTGTGGCCTTACCAAGGCCTTATAAACTGGTCTACTGGTGGAGTTTGAAGATGAGATTTGGAAGGTTTCTTGGGGACTCGAGTGAGCCAATTGTTGTGTAGTCATCACACCTTTTCCTGAAATTACAAGGCCACCAGAATGGACCAGGACTGTCTTATCAGTGGTGGAGAACAAGAGTTGCTCTTCAAACAGAAGACCAATGTAGAGAAGAGTAAAGTTTTCTTTTTAAAAGTAAAAAAGTCTTATACGTAGGCAAGAAAAACCAAAAGTACGCATATACACTGGATGAAACCAGGGTTAATAGCAGTAACTGTGAGAGGGATCTCGGAGTCTTAGTGGACAAGCGATTAAATTGGATGTCCACTAAGACTTTATTTGTTGGTGGAAGAACTTGCCTCCAGAGGTTGTGACTGCTCCAACACTGGAAGTTTTTAAGAAGAGGTTGGATAACCCTTTGTCTGAAGTGGTGTAGGGTTTCCTGCCTAGGCAGGGGGTTGGACTAGAAGACCTCCAAGGTCCCTTCCAACTCCGTTATTCCAGTCGATTCTAAATATGAGCTATGAGTGTGCAGCAGCAGCCAAAAAAGCCAACGCAATCCTAAATTGCATTAACAGAGGGGTTCAATCAAGATCAAGGGAGGTACTAATACCACTCTATAAAGCCTTAGTAAGACTACACCTAGAGTACTGCATCCAGTTTTGGTCACCACGATGTAAAAAAGATGTGGAGACTCTAGAAAGACTGCAGAGAAGAGCCACAAAGAGGATTAGGAGACTGGAGGCTAAAACATATGAAGAACGGTTGCAGGAACTGGGTATGTCTAGTCTGATGTCTAGTCTGAAAAGAAGGACTTGATAGGAGTCTTCCAATATCTCAGGGGCTTCCACAAAGAAGAGGGAGTCAAGCTATTCTCCAAAGCACCCGAAGGCCAGACAAGGAACAATGGATGGAAACTGAACAAGGAGAGATTCAAGCTGGAAATAAGGAGAAATTTCCTGACAGGGAGAACAATCAACCCATGGAACAGAAGTTGCCTTCGGAAGTTGTGGAAGCTTCAGCACTGGAGGCTTTCAAGAAGAGATTGGATTGCCATCGGTCAGCAATGGTGTAGGGTCTGCTTGGGAGGCGGGTTGGACTAGATGACCTCCAAGGTCCCTTCCAACTCTTATTAATCTGTTAAGACCATTGAAGAACACCTCACGCCCTTACTCCGCGTTTCCGAACGGACTCAAATTAAAAATCCACGTTCCTGTGCTCAACGGAGAAGTTGGGATTTTCACCATAATGCCGTCCGCTGGCTGACAGGGGCCGGATTTTGCACGGTGACCCCCAAATGGAAGACCCTCCCTCTTCAAATCCATTCTTCACACTTCAATGCGTTAAGAGTCAGGAGGAGAGGGGGAGAAGAGAAACAACCCAGCTCTGGAGTTAGAAGGGACGAATGAGGTCCACCAGAACGGACCAGGAGCTTCCCTCAGTGGTGGAGAACAAGAGTGGCTCTTCAAACAGAAGATCTGTGCAGGAACACCTATTGGGTTTCAGGACGGGCTGCATCTGCGATCTTCCAGCCCTCGGTGACAAATGAGAGGGAGGGAAGGGTCCTCGGAGGTCCTTGGGGAAGGAGAGGGGGAGCAGACAGGTGTCACGGCTCAGACCGACCAGGCCCAGCTAACAAAACAGACGCGGGCTCTTCTCCTCCCACCCCACCCAGCCACCCCCACTTATCCGGCAAAGACAATGAGACACCCCAGCAGCCAGCCGAATTACAGCCTCTGAACAGCCACATTTCAGCACTCTGGCCTCTGGCCCAATCAGGAGGCGAACTCCGGCACGGTCCGTGGCTCAGCAAATCGGCGCCTCGCCTGGCCCGCGCATGATGGGCTTTCCTCCTGTCCATCATCTGGGTCATATATAGTTCAATTCCGAGTGGAGCAGACAGGACTGGGAAGGAGGCTGTGGCGCGCAACTCTCCGCTGTCTGGCTTGCCTCCGGAGAGGGACAAACCCCTGCGGACGGTGGGGGGGGGGGGGGGGGGGGGGGGGGCGGAGGTCTCAAGCCGATTGCAGCCCAGGATCATTATCATCTCTCCACCTTTTCCCTGGGGCAGAAGTGGCCAGCACGGATTTCTCCCTCTCGCCCTTGAACCCTTCCGTCGTGTCCGGCACCACCTGCAACTTTGGAAAAACGCACGACAAAGCTACCCGAAAGGGAATGGCGGGCTCTGCGAGCAGGGTCCGAGCCACCTCCCGTTTCCCCACCCATCCACCCAAAAGGCCAGGTAAGCCGTTTTGAACCACCCTTTCTTCGGTCCTTGACTTTGAGCCGAAACGGAGCCAGGGGGAAAGGAACGGAGCGCGCCGCGTGGCTCCGGGTTTTAACCGGCCCTGTCAGCCCGTTTTTCTCCTTCTGGGCTCTCACTTCTGCACGTGCTCCTTTGTTCTCCACAACAGAAGCTTTTTATATACTTCTCATAATATGAGCCAGCTGGAGGGAGGCACAAACGGAGGGAAGGATCGGAGGGAAGCCCCGCAAACGCGCCGCCCCAGAGCTCGTCTTTCTTAAGAGCTGGCAGACGGGCGAAGGAGACGGGCAGCTCGGGAGGAGAAGAAGGAGGAGGAGGAGGAGGAGAAGAGGAAGAGACGTCCAAGGCTGGGGCTGCTGACAAAACTTTAGCGCGGCGGAGACAGAAAGGAAGAGAAAGAAAGAAAGAAAGAAAGAAAGAAAGAAAGAAAGAAAGAAAGAAAGAAAGAAAGAAAGAAAGAAAGAAAAAGAAAGAGACTGTATAAAAGGCTCCAGCTGGATGTAACTGAACACTTTCCTGAAAGGCACATCGAGACGGACGGACGACGAACAGCGTCGCGAAGGTGGACAAAGGCAGGAGCTGAAACCAGACAACTCAACTTGTCCGCCGGGCCTGGACCAGACAGGTCAGCCAGCTGCTGCCGAGGGGGGGATTGTTGGGAGGGTGAGGCACTGGTGCTCCCAGCCGTGGCAGCAGCAAAGGGGGGGCGGGAGAGGAGGCTTGGGACCTGCCAGACATTTCCCCCCAAGCAGTGCGAGGGTGGGGGGCCGCTTTTGTGCTGTCTAAAGGAATGTGCTACCCCTGCCTGGAAGGTAATTTTGGAAGCTGGGAGTGTAGGGAGGAGGAGGAGGAGGGAGAAGATTCAGGGGTCGGGGGACAGGAAGCGCCCCCTCCCCAAGAGAGCTCCCTCCCTTCCTCTCCCCGCCAGTCGCGTCTGCTTTTGTCTAGCTCCCCATAATCTGTGCGTGCATGGCAGCTTAGTTTTTTACGGATGGAGAAAAAGGGGACCGCCTTAGAGCAATAATAATAAAAATAATAAAAGGTGAGGTGCCCGACTTCCTAAAAGCCAAATTCATCAGCCCCAAAAGGGAGGGAGGAAGAAGAGAGAGGGAGGGAGGGATGGAGGAGGGAGCTTCATTGCAGAAGTGGCCCCCAACGGACTGAAGGAGCTCGGTCCTGGCATGGCGCACTCTTTCGATGAGCAAGTCTGGGTCAGAGCGGAGACCGTCACAGCTGACCCAATTTGAGACTTGGCTCACCGTGCAGGCCTGTCTTGATGCCCCCCCCTCTGTTGGGCCACCCGCTGACCCGCTTTTCCCTCTGCCAATGCTGCCTGGCTGCGTTCCATTGTGGGCCCTCCGAACGGGACCCCCAAAAGATCACAAGGCTTCTTCACAGGTGGCACCAGGTGCAAAACTCGAGCGATGGGGGGAAGTGGAGGACTTTCCGCGTGGACATCGGCAGACTCGATGCCCGCTTTTTGGTGGGGCAGCTGGGCACAATTAGAGGAGTGGGCAAAGAGCAATGTCCTCATGCTGGACTGTCATTGCCCCACCCCCACATTTAATATTAAGTCAGGAATCTTCTCCCCTCCACCGTGTTTTTTTTTTTACTTAACCCAAATCTTCGCGCTTCGTTGGATGCCGAAATTTGCAGCGACCCAACCCGCCTCGGTGCCGGCCTTCCTTGCGATTTCGGTTCGGAAAAAAACGCCCCCACACAATCCATCGTCCCTGTTAAGACAGGGCTCGGGTGCAAATTCAGGACAACTGTGCCAGAAGCTAAATTTGAGGGGGGGGGAATGATGACGCTGGGGAGAAGCCTGTGACGGAGACCAAAGTCTTGGTCCCCAAGGAAAGAAAGCTGGCTCTGGCTTGCGTGGCCGGACGGGAGGTGAGGAGGCAGCCGGCCGCCGGAGCGAGCCCATTCATATCGCCAACTACCTGAAATTTGAATAGTTTCCAGACAGCAATCATTTCGGCTGGATCGCTGTTCGGCCCACCGGACAATGGAGATTTGTTAGTTCTCAGGCCCGCGGCGTGACACACAAAAGGGGGCAGGGGGAGGCAGGAACGGGACTCGGCAGACAGGAAATTGCAGTTTGGGGGGGGGGGCAAACTGTTCGTTCCTGCATGGATGACACACACACACATACATGGCCTCAAAGGCAGGGCGCTCGCCCAATGCCAAGGGGATCGAGGGCTTTACGGCTACCCCACCGTCAGGAGGTCGACCATCATCCGCGTCCAACGTCCTTCAGCTTAGAAAGGGTCAAAGGAACCCAACGTCCAAGCTAGGGACCTGTCCCAGCTGCCCGTTCTCTGCTCCCAACATTGGTCACGGTTGCTATGACGGGCGAGCGGGAGGGAAGAGAAATCTCCAAGCCGTGCAGCAAAGCCAACTCTGGAGGACAATTTTCAGGATATCTGGGCTTCCTGTTGCATGCAAGAAAATCCCCAAATTGTGCTTTTTCATTTGCTCCCCCCCTAAGAAACCCAGTTTAACTAAGAGGGCAAGCAGAACTTTTGTCTGTAGAGCCCTGAGGATGGCCTAAGGCAGAGGTCTTCAAACTTGGCAACTTTAAGACTTGTGGACTTCAACTCCCAGAATTCTCCAGCCATGCTGGCTGGAGAATTCTGAGAGTTGAAGTCCACAAGTCTTAAAGCTGCCACGTTTGAAGACCTCTGGCCTAAGGACCTCTATACAGGACATGAAGGGCTTCCTGAGGAGCTAAGCCAACGGGACAAATTCTTCTTATCATCACCGTCATCATTTTCATCTGTCCAACCAGTAGTTCCCACCATGGAAACTCTGCACCCCAGATTTCAGGCAACTCCCCGCCCCCCCTCAAATCAAGTCAATGTAGTAAGGAATATTCCTTAAAATGTTGACTTGGCTTGGATTCTTATTCTCCAAAGAAGAGCATCTCTGGACATCAGCCATCTCTTGAATTTCGAGGCGGTTCTCGCCTCTTTGACGAGAGCGGCTTCCAGGGATCCCTTCGACCATCAGGACTGCCAGAGATATCATTTGGCTTTAAGGACAGCACGGCAAACTCTCATTCAGGGGTAAAGGAAGCTAGTTTCTAAGGCTGACTTTCAGTTCTTGCATTGGGGATGCTTAGATGAGAGATGGAAGCGTTTGGAGAAGTTCCTCCGTCTTAAAGACAGAAGTCCTGGAGAAGTTCCTCCGTCTTAAAGACAGAAGTCCTGGAGAAGTTCCTCCGTCTTAAAGACAGAAGTCCTGGAGAAGTTCCTCCGTCTTAAAGACAGAAGTCCTGGAGAAGCTCCTCTGTCTTAAAGACAGAAGTCCTGGAGAAGTTCCTCCGTCTTAAAGACAGAAGTCCTGGAGAAGTTCCTCCGTCTTAAAGACAGAAGTCCTGGAGAAGCTCCTCCGTCTTAAAGACAGAAGTCCTGGAGAAGCTCCTCTGTCTTAAAGACAGAAGTCCTGGAGAAGTTCCTCCGTCTTAAAGACAGAAGTCCTGGAGAAGTTCCTCCGTCTTAAAGACAGAAGTCCTGGAGAAGCTCCTCCATCTTAAAGACAGAAGTCCTGGAGAAGTTCCTCCGTCTTAAAGACAAGAAGTCCTCAGAGGGAGACTGAGCTAGAAGCCAGCTCCAAACTTCACAGATGTGATGAAGTTCACCTTGGCTTTGGACCTTTTCTAAGGAAGGCAAGGGAGAAAATTCACTCCCCTCTTGGCCCAGCACCATGCCTGGTGGCCAAGAGAGGACATGGCCTCTGGTTGGGACTCCCACATCAAGCCTCCAGTCAACTAAGAACAGTGTCATGATTAGGTTGGGTCATCTTGGACTAAAAGTGAAGAGAAGGACCAGGGGAGACATGATCGCAATGTTCCAATACTTGAGGGGCTGTCACAGAGAGGAGGGGGCTCAAGCTATTCTCCAAAGACCCCAAAACTCGGACCACACGTTTTCTGAATAGTTTTTATCCCAGAGCTATAATTGCACTCAACAATGAACTAAAGGGCCACCGTCCGTGAGCTGTTGGACAGCATTACTTGGTCTGTTGTGTGGACGTTTTGGTGATTTAGGGGTGGGGGATTATTTGTGGTGGGTGGGGGTGTGTTTGGGGATTGTTATATGTGTTGGACCTGGTCTTTGGGTGTTAAGTGAATTTTGTTGTATGGGTAGACTGTGTATACACGTACAATGCCAGTAACGTGATTAAATTAAATTAAAAGGCCAGACAAAGGAATAATGGATGGAGACTGATCAAGGAGAGATTCAACCTGGAAATAAGGAGGAATTTTCTGACAGTGAGAACAGGCAACCCATGGAATAGAAGTTGCCTTAGGAAGTTGTGGGAGCTCCATCACTGGAAGCTTTCAAGAAGAGACTGGACTGCCCTCTGTCAGAAAATGGTCTAGGGAAATGATGGCTAACCTTTTTGCCATCGTGTGCCAGGAAGGGAGGGCCCACACCCATAATTCTATGCGTCCCGCTCCACGGATGTGAACGTGACCCCCCTACCCCCCGCTCCTGGCACGCGATGGCCCACTAGGCCCGTTTTTCTTTCTCACCTGGCTCCAGATCCTCTCTATGCATCTGGGGAGGGCGAAAACAGCCTTCCCCACCCTCTCGGAGGCCCTCCGGAGGCCCGAAACGGCCCGTTTCCCAACTTCCGGTTGGACAGGAGGTGACTTTTTTGCTGTCCCCAGCCTCCAGAGATTCCTAGCGCCGGAGCTGAGCTGGAGTGCCAGGAGACATGGCTCTGCTTGCCACCTGTGGCACGCGTGCCATAGGTTCGCCATCATGGGTCTAGGGTCTCCTGCTTGGGCAGGGGGTTGGACTAGATGACCTACAAAGTCCCTTCCAACCCTGTTATTCTGTTGTTGTTGTTGTTATTATTATTATTATAAAAGAGCTGCTTGGCAAACCCCATAAACCACAGCCTGCACCCTACTTGAGACAAAGACCTGACTTGGGCATGGAAGTGGCATGGAAGTGGCCTTCAGAAGGATCCATTCTACGTCACCACCAGCTGTGGATCATCATCTCCATGACCCGATCCAACCAAACAAGCTTGTAGCTGGACACCTTCATAAAACCCTTTCTGGTTCCCACGCTCTCTAAATGAAAAGCAACAGGGAAGACGAAACTTGAAGGAAACTTCTCACCAACTGAGGACTTCCTAAGCCCAAACCGCCCTTCCGTGCCATTGCTCTCACGCGCCCAGTTTCCGTCATTTCTAACCCGAACCAGTGGTCTCCTTCACCTTCTCCTTCAACCAGAAGGCCTCCTTTTCCACCAGGCTTTTATGCATCATCTCCTTAACTTGAGATGACAAACCGGATCCCAGCGCCGAGGTGACAAGCCCAACATGATGCCAAGAGACCTACCGGAGATTTGGGGTTTTCATCGTTAGAATCATTATGTCACTGCCACCATCACCAGAGCTTCTACAAACGATTTCCACTTGCGCAGCCTTCGGCTTCCCCTTTTCCGTTCAGTGAATATTAAGGTCAATTAGGCATAATGTAAGGCGAGAGCTCACCAAGCAGATTAGGCATCCCCGATGCTCAGGACCGGGCCAAGCCTTGTCCGTCACCGTGACCTAGATTTCGGCAGAACCCGAATTTATTTGCTTTGCTGAACATTCAAACGTGGCAACGGCGCCATCTTGCTCCCCACCGCCAGCTCTCTCGGGCAAACATAACTGACATTTCCCGGCGCCGAAAGGGCATCTCGTCCACAAGGGAGCTCTGGAGGCCCGTACGGAACATTCTAGGTCAGTGATGGCTAACTTTTTTGCCATCGCGTGCCAAAAGCGGGGGGCGGAGGGGTTCACATATGTGTGTGCCCACACCCATAATTCTATGTGCCCTGCCCCCTATGCATGTGCGTGTGATCCCTCCTGCGCTCCCCCCACTTTTGGCATGTGATGGCACGGGGGCCCGGTAGGCCCGTTTTTTGCTCTCCCCAGGCTCCAGAGCCTCTCTAGGAGCCTGGGGAGAGCAAAAAACGGGCCTTCCGGTTCCACCGGAAGTTGACAAACGGGCCGTTTCCAGCCTCGGGGGGGGGGTGGGGAAGGCTGTTTTTGCCCTACCCAGGCTCCTAGAGAGACTCTGGAGCCTGGGGAGAGCCAAAAATGGGCCTTCCCCACACCCCCAGGCTCTCCAGAGGTAGGAAACAGCCTGTTTCCCTACTTCCGGTGGGCCCAGAAGGCCCGAAAATCAGCTGGCTGAGCTGAGCTCGTGTGCCCACCGATATGGCTCCGTGTGCCACCTGTGGCATGCGTGCCATAGGTTCGCCATCATGGTTCTAGGTTATCCCCGCAGAGAATCCAGATCCGCCATCTTCAAAACCAGAACGTTTTCAGGTTCCTAGGATTCCCAGTCAACTCGGTCAATTTGGCCAAGCTGGTGGAACATTCTGGGGTAGCGAGGTGCATCAGGAAGGGAAAGGCAGGCGTCCTCAACCAAGCTGCAGAATCAAGCGAATGCTTGCTGTGGGACAAGGGGAGGGAGGGTGGGGCAGAGGTCTCTTCTTTGGTTGTGGATGCTCGCCCTTGCCCAGGGGGTGGGCTTCTAATATTTTAGCAAGAGGTTCTCTGCCCAGTTGCTGGGTGGGTGTGGCCTAGTCAGCCTCCTGCACCACGGTGGAGGCTCCGTGGCTCCAGAGGCTTTACTTGAGCCTCCGGGAGGGCAAAAACGGCCTCCCCAGGCTCCAGAGGCTGGAAACTTCCGGTAGGCCCGTTTTTCACCCTCCCTGAGCCTTTGTGCATGCCCTGCACTTACATGCAACCAAAACGGGCCACATAGGGATTCCTTGGAGGGGTGGGGCAGGAGGGACCAGCAGGAATGGGATTTGGGGGTTCTCCAAACTGCACAGAATCTTAGCTAGAGGTTCTCCCGAACCCCTACGAACCCCCAGCAGCCCACCCCTGCCCTTGCCAGAAACTTGGCAAAGCAAGAGCATCCAAACTGTTCTGACCGCAAAGAAAACCCCCTCTTTATTTACACATGGGGGAATTCACTGCCTTCCCCAACAGAAAGTCCAGGCAAGAGCCCTGCAAGGAGCTTAACTGAAACAATAGTCCTTATCAGCTCGTTAGGATAAATGCTATGTTGTGAGGCTGCAAATTAAGTCAGTTCAAACAGAGAATTAGACAACCTCAGTTCTGCAAGGCAGCCTTTGTTGCACGAAACACACAAGGAGCAAACTTTCCAGAAATGCGAATGGTTGTCTCCTATGACAACCACTCCCTTTTCCTCCTATTTATTCCCCAGCCAGGGAGGTGCCAGTCAACGTCCACGTTTGTTTTGCTTCCCAAGCCGGCTCCTTGTCCTCCGTTGTTCACCTCTCCTATCTGCTCTGCGCATATGTGCATCTGGAACAGGCCCCAGCTGTTCCTCCTCCTCCTCACTCATCTCTGACTCCAAAGGCAGCTGTCTCTCTGGCTAGGAAATGCTGGACGGCCCTGGCTCTATCTCTGCGTCCGACACTGAGCATCCATCAGAGCCTTTCCCAGGCTCCAGAACTGGCCCAAGTTCTTCCCCAACCTCCTCATTGTCCCGAGTCTGTAGGCCACAATACAACCCCCAAATTTCAAATCCCAGGTTCTGGACAATATCCTGGCATTTTTTTTAAAAGCAGGGCTAACAAACTACCATTGAAAGGAACCTTAAGCTACGTTATGAAGATGCAGATAGTCAGATCTGGCTACTTCTAGTCTTTGTAAATAGAATAGAATAACAGAGTATGGAAGGGACCTTGGAGGTCTTCTAGTCCAGCCCCCTGCTTAGGCAGGAAACCCTACACCACTTCAGACCAATGGTTATCCAACATCTTCTTAAAAACTTCCAGTGTTGGAGCATTCACAACTTCTGGAGGCAAGTTGTTCCACTGATTAATTGTTTGTAACTATCAGGAAATTTCTCCTAAGTTCTAAGTTGCTTCTCTCCTTGATTAGTTTCCACCCGTTGCTTCTTGTCCTGCCCTCAGGTGCTTTGGAGAATAGCTTGACTCCCTCTTCTTTGGGGCAGCCCCTGAGATATTGGAAGACTGCTATCGTATCTCCCCTGGTCCTACTTTTCATTAAACTAGACATACCCAGTTCCTGCAACCGTTCTTCATATGTTTTAGCCACCAGTCCCCTAATCCTCTTGGTTGCTCTTCTCTGCACTCTTTCTAGAGTCTCCACAACTTTTATACATCGTGGCGACCAAAACTGAATGACCACAATCCCTACTTAGGTGCCCAACGCAAGACTTCCCTGAAGGCCAAGCTGCCACACTCTTGCAACCAACCTCTTCTTCCTTCTAGGCCTAGCTAGGGACTGGTCATGGCTGTACAACTTTTGTTATGTTCACAATTTCAGATTTACTAACAGTTGTGCTTTTTTTGCAGAAAAGACCCCCCGAGATGTTCCGGAGACTCCTAAAGATGTTCAGTTGGATAGTGGCTGCTCACAAGATATCTCGGAAGGAAGCCTCAAGACTTGGGAATGGACCTGCACTTTGGCGGCACTGTCTAGGGGAGGACAGATCCCAAAAAAGGATCCACTACAAAAAAAACACGGGACATGTTGGAATATTTGCAAACCAAGGGAAACTGGTTTCTTCCCACCACGCTGAGCTAAATAAAACCAAGAATTCTAAGGAGATTGATTGCAAGGGACTGCTACCCTCCCTTTGATATTCTGAACGTCAAGTTGGCTTCTCAACTCCTTTTCCTTCTGTTTTGGGCCTGAAGGAGAAGTCCCACCTTCCCTCATGAGGAGAGCTTTTCCCCCACCAAGGAGGATACAGTGCTATGGTGACCATATACCAAAGCTACCCCAAGAGGTTAGTCCTCTTGGTTAAGGAAGGTGAAGGTGAATGGGCGTGGAAAGGTAGGTGGGGGAAGATGGAAGTCTGGCTTTGTGGGGCAGGATGCCCTTCGCGGCCTTTGAACGAGCAGCCAAACCGTCAAACGCGCCAACAAGCCTACAACACAATGGGAAGCCACCTGAGATGCTTAGCCTGGCCACAGGTCACAAGTCTTTTTTGGAATATTCTCCGCTTTCGCTTCCCATTCGGATTTGGAGGCACGCTTCCCTGGAGTAGGAGACCACTTATTCAGGCTCTAAGGCAGCGGTGGGTTTCACAGTTTGTTACTACCGGTTCGCCGTGTGCCCACCTGCCTTCCGTGCATGCTCCCGGCCTCAAAAACGTGCCTAAAGGTCTCTCACCTTAGAACAGAGGTGGCATTCGGCCGGATCGGGCGAATCGGTAGTGGAAATTGCAGGCGGGATTTCTGCTACCAGTTCTCCCAAACCTGTTTGAACCGGCTGAGTACCACGTAAGGTGGGAGACTTTTCTGGTAGGTTCAACTAGGACAGCAATCTCCCTTCTTCTTCGCTACTGGTGGAGATCAGGTGGGAGACAAGCCCTTCACAGCCCATGATAGACAAATCTCCTTTGGAGAGCCATCTCCTTGAAATTTCCAGATTTTAAAGATACACGTATTCTCGGAACAGAGAAGTACAGGCAGTCATCGACTTACGGCACTTCGGTTAGTGACCGTTCAAAGTTACAAAGGCACCGGAAAAAAAAGGGACTTAGAAACAGTTTTTCACACTTACGACCGCTGCAGCATCGTCACGTGATTTACATTTGGATGCTTGACAACTGAACCAGTGGTGAAATCCAAACCGGTCTGCTACCATTTCGCTGTCCGCACATGTGCAATCCATGTCAAACATGTGCTGTGTGCGCATGTGCAGCGCGCACCAAATTCGTATGCGCAGTACGCGCCAAAAGGAGGCTTGGGAAGGTAAGTAGAAGCGAAGGGGAGGGATCAGCTGTGGTGCGCTAAACCCCGCTGTACAGCTGATCGTCAGAAATACGGTTCGAAGGAACCGGTAGGTTTTTTTTTTTTTTACTACCGATTCGCCCGAACTGGTAGTTCTTATCACTACCGGTTCTCCCAAACCGGACCAAACCGGTAGCATTTCACCCCTGAACTGCACTCATATTTATGACGGTGGCAGTGTCCCAAGGTCACAGGATCCCCTCTGGTGACCTTCTGACAAGCAATGGGGGGGGGGAGCCTGATTCACTTAACAACCATGTTACTAACTTAACATCTGCCGTGATTCACTTAACAACTATCGCAAGTCGTTAAAAAATAAAGTAAAATGGGGCAAAACTCACTTAACAAATTAGCAACGTAAATTCTGGGCTCAATTGTGGTCATAAGCCGAGGACTATCTGTACTTTAGGGCCACGCAGAAACTCGACAACCTAATTATGTCAAGACTGCAAAGAGAGCGAAGAGAGTCACACAGGCAGGTGCAAACTCCCTTACTTTTTAACACAGCTGCCATTAATTGAATGCATTTGATTGAGGCTCTTCCTGACTCCAAACAAAGCACCATCCCATTGATTAGAGGACGAGTTGCTAGGGTAGGCAGGAAAAAAATAGGGCAGGGTCTTTCTTTTTTTTTTTTTAAAGAACAATTACCACCTTAGTTGTGGGAGCTTCATCCCTGGAAGCTTTCAAGAAGAGACTGGATAGCCATCTGTCAGAAATGGTGTAGGTAGGGTTTCCTGTTTAAGCATGGGGTTGGACTAGATGATCTCCAAGGTCCCTTCTATTCTATTCCATTCCATTCCATCCTACCCTATCCTTATTCTTCGATAGATTCTCTTGTTTGAGCAGGGGCTGGACTAGAAGACCTCCAAGGTCCCTTCCAGCTCTATTCTATTTCTAGTCTAGTCTATTTTATTCTCTTCTGTTTTCTCTTCTCTCTCTTCTCTTCTCTCTCTCCTCTCCTCTCCCCTCCCCTCTCCTCTTCCCTTCCCTTCATTTCTATTTCTAGTCTAGTCTATTTTATTCTCTTCTCTTCTCTTCTCTTCTCTTCTCTTCTCTTCTCTTCTCCTCTCCTCTCTTCCCTTCCCTTCATTTCTATTTCTAGTCTAGTCTATTTTATTCTCTTCTGTTTTCTCTTCTCTCTCTTCTCTTCTCTCCCCCCCCTCTCTCCTCGTCCCTTCCCTTCATTTCTATTTCTAGTCTAGTCTATTTTATTCTCTCCTCTCCTCTCCTCTCCTCCCCTCCCCTCCCTTCCTTCATTTCTATTTCTAGTCTAGTCTATTTTATTCTCCTCTCCTCTCCTCTCCTCTTTTCTCCTCCCTTCCCTTCCTTCCCTTCATTTCTATTTCTAGTCTAGTCTATTTTATTCTCTTCTGTTTTCTCTTCTTCCCTTCCCTTCCCTTCCCTGTTTCTGATTTAAACAGGTAGCCTCTGGCTTACGCGCCTCCCTGAACATTTGTGTAGAGCGATAACCACACAAGTAAAAATTGGCCAACCGCACAGAGCAGAGCTAGGATAAAAATCACTGCACCCAGGGTTTTTTAGAACAAATGTATGCCAAGACATCCAATAAACGGATGCCCAGGGGGAGCATTTACAGCAGGCCCCGAAAACTCTTCTGTACTGCGTCCTCTTTCAAATGCCGCCCTTTGAAAGGAAACCTGAAAACTGAGAAGTCACTAGTAAGATGGGGGAGGGAGGAGGATCTCCCCTTGTAAGGAAAGACGTTTAAACGGAAGGGAGAAGGTATTTTCAGCGGCGGATGTTTTATGGGTTCTGCCTTGGGACCGTTTCGGAGAAAAGGGCGTCAGAATAATAATAATAAATATGCATTCGTGCGCCATCAGCCTGCTCCTAGCAAAATCTCATCGGAGTTTCTCCCCAACAAGTGGAGGAGGAGGAGGAGGGAAAAGAACATGTTCTGAAGGGGCTTTCAAAGAAGGAACTCCCCCCAAAAAAGACACGCTCCCCTCCATGAAAACTTCCTTCCCCTTCTTGGACGTCTCTGGACTACCGTAGGCGCTGAGTAAACATTTTTTTACGGCTGTTGGCGCATCATTGCTCTCTGTACATGTGGCCTACCCATTTATTTTTGCAGGCACTGGTCTACTCATGTATTTTTGCAGGCACTGATCTACTCATGTATTTTTGC